GGAAGTCATCATCTGTAAAAATGATAGATTCCCGCTTCTGCTTTTTATCAGCAGGGAGGCGGTTGATTTCTCCGATGAATAGCTGGCGACTCCACTTTTTCCGTTCCCCCGCAGTGTCTCCCCCTATAGGTCCACCGTAGATTTGGTTAACATGCGGGCGCTTCTGCCGACATGAATCTTCCCCTTCCTCGTCATCCTCGAACTGGGCTTCGACCTCCCTCTTCTTGGAGGTTGGGGCCGACTCGTCTTTCCCCTTGTTCCAGGTGTTCTTCTTTTGAGGGGGCTGTCCTTGCCGGCTCTTCTTAACGAACTGATCCAACCGCCTCTCACAGATGAGCCTTTTCACGTATTTTTTCAGAACATAACAATCATCAGTTTCATGAGTATCGCTCTTGTGGAGCTTGGAATACTTACCTCTGGTGGCCTGGTTATTGACAACGTTGCAACTTTCAGGAATTGTTATCAAACCTTGTTTGGTCGCGTAATCCAGGACGGTGCTGACTGGATGTGTCAAAGGTGAAAATTCTGATTGAATGGATAGAGTTCCGTCGGGGACACCCGACTTGCTCTTTCCCCAACCTTTCTTCCTTCTCTTGGACCCATTCCCGTTATCTTTATCATGAGTTTTCTTCTCTGAACTCTTTTTCCTCCCATCTTCGGGTTGGTGCTTTCCGATCTCCTCTCTCTTTCGCTTTTCAGCCTCTTCCACTTCAATCTGCGCATTGGCTCGCAATAAAGCTTCCCCGTGCGAGGTCGGGGGGCTTCGTACAAATTCCTTATACAACTCACCCGACCTTAGGGTATTGGTGAGAATAGCGGCGGCGGATTTGTCATCCAGGTCGTCCACCTTCACCGATTCATCCCTCCAACGAGCTAGGAAGGCGGTCAAGCTCTCCTAGGGTCATTGTCTGATCGCTAAGAGATGAGAGAAGTTCTTCTTGGAATCCTTAGAGCTGGCAAACCGTGCTACAAATGCATGAGCCAACTCCCGGAAATTCCGGATTCTTCCATCTGGTAAAAAATCATACCATTCTCGGGCTGGCCCATCCAGAGTCACTGAGAATCCTCTACACTTGATCGTATCATCGTATCCCATCATCACCATGTAGGCTACGCATCTGGAGACATGGTGCTCGGGGTCGGTCTTTCTTCGGTAGGCCTTGATAGTGCAAGGCATGTATCCTTGCGACAATGGAGCATCCATGATCCGGCGAGTGAATGGCTCGGGAATCCTTACATCATGGTTGGGGTTGATCCTGCCATCCACCTCCCTTCTGAGCTCATCTAGTCTCCTTCTGAGGTCATCGTTATTGTGACCTGTCTGGGCACGCGGAGGAGATCGACGATCTTTGCGGGCCTGCCGATTTGCATTGATCTCGTCCCTGAGATCTCCCCTACGCGCACTGCGGCGGTGGGAAGAAACAGACGTAGAGGATGCCTCCTCAGTGCGCTCTGCCCTGGAGGAGAGCCTTTAATGTACGGAGACTCTCTGTCCGCCCATCCAATCCATCACCGAAGCCCTCAGGGTCTTCCTGGAGTGATGGGATCGTTGAGACCTTGCTGGTGGAGAATTCCTTCGTTGTTGCGCAGAGATTTCCTCCTTTCACTGGGGCACGGACGGGAGCTCGGCGAGGAGAAGGAGGTCTTCCATTAGGGTTAGGGATGATACCTTGGAAAGCAATAGTCAAGGTCTCCACAACCCTCTGGAATGTTGCAAAACTCGCCACGACTTGTACTGGATCCACGTTGGGGATGAGATTCCCGATGCCCGGCGTCTGAAATTGTGGTGGTCGCACTACCGGACGCCTAGAACTCCCAGCGCCTTGCAGTTGATTCCTCAAGTCACCTTGAGCCGCTGCGTTATCGTTGTGCCTCCGGAAATCGCTCCATCGTGACCTAGACCCTTTGTCCTCGATCACGACTTGATCAAAATGAGCACCGCCTTGATTGCTACCCACACGATTGTGACTGTGTGATCCAACCATCGTCGTCGTAAATCATTCTCTCAATGAGAGCACCAAATGATGAAGTTTAATCCAACTACTAGAGCTTCATCTACGAGAGCAGATGAAATTTAGGCAGCGTATGACAGTATTATTATTCCAGAATTCGGTCCCTTCATTGGAAATACAGACGAAGTATTTATAAACTATAGGAATTAGTTTTCTAGGAGGAAACTGATACAATAAATGATATTAACCACATATTAGCCGAATAAGTCTCCTGTAACGCCTTGGACGTTGTGCAATGATTGTTCCTTTAAATCCACGTTCCTTCCGTTATTCCTGCATGCTGCCAGATAGCTGTGCACGACTGATAGCTTGCCACGTAAGCCCTAGGAATATCCCGACCTCACTAGAACTCCGCCCAAGCTCAAGGTCTGCTGTCTAGTCCGGCCTGGTTGTGCGTTCCTATTGTGGGTCTGATTCCTAATTAGGCCCAGCGGCTAGTTAATATTAATTCCGTTTATGGGATGATCCCGTTTATGGGCTTTATCCCGTTAAGGGCTAATCCCGTTGAGGGCTTGATCCCGTTAAGGGCTAATCCCGTTGAGGGCTTGATCTTGTTTATGGGCTTTAATCATAATTCCCTAATTGGGCCATGGTCTTAATCCATGGTACCATCATTCTCATTGTAAAATGAAATGATTATTTAAATAATAATTAAATAAGATAATTTGCATATATTTTGAGAAATAATTTTGATATATACATATGATGTTTTCTTTTGGACTGTTTTCAGTCCCAGACCAAATCAGACTAGACCAGACCAGACTTCCGTAGTTATAAAATACACAGAGACCAAACGTTTACCAGACCAGACCTGATCAGTTCAGACCAGACCAGTTCAGACCAGCAAATTTCATTCCAAAAGAAAACATTGAACCTATGAAATACTAACCGAATCATGGCTTCGTTAGCTTTTAAGATTTCATTGATTGATATAGCCAAATGGTCTTTGGCATGCATTCTGTTTGATTCAATGCTTAGATCATCATTTCTGTGGCATGTTTAGCTACAAAAAATAATAGCCCAATTCCTCTGAGCATTTTCAATTAAAAGTCATTGCTTGGAAACATTCAAATCCATTATTTATTCTTTAATAGCACCCCAATTCCCCAAACAACAGACATCCAGTATCCTTTTTTTATATCAATACACTACAACCGTGAACTGACTATGCTTGCTGTGTTTGTAAAAATAGACAGACTTTAGTTTCTCTAATTTTAGTGTGTGAAGTAATACTTTATATGCTGCTGTTAGTGCTAAATTAATCCACCATTATTTAAATATAACAACCCAAAAAAACAGTAGCTACTTGAAAATGCCAAATTTCAATATATGCAAGACTGGGAGAAGAAAAACATAACCTGAAGTACCACAAATGACTCTCTAGGCCCCACTACTTATTATAGAACTACCGCTATATATTCTCCATGTTTGAAGTCTGATACTGCCAAAACATGGCGGTAATTAGTCCTATTTTGGGAATAAAAACATGGCAGTCCTATTTTGGAATTTTCAAACTCTTTTAGTCATATTTCGGGTAATATCTCAATAAATAATTGTGTTGGTGTTCCTCCTTATGAGGCAAATGTTGGGCATCCATATGGATATTCATACAAATTTCATGGTGATTATGCATATTGGTTCCCTTGTCATCCATATTAGTAATAGTGGATTGATATATATATGGTCCTAAAGGTGCCATTTTAGGCGATTCCTTGTGGTATCTAAGTAGTAACCATAGATCGTTTAAGGTTTCTGCGGTATGGCTCTTTGAACTATTAACACTGATTTAGAATCGTATGGTAAGGTTTATTGTCACTTATAATATGAATTTCTTACATGATCTATTAACTCTCCGTTTGTTCGGGTTCTGGGGTTGAGAACGGGTCCAGGGATGACTTGGGGTACCAGGGTACCCGGTTGAGGTCGTAACCTACCTGCTAGGGTTACGACAATAATGGTCCGACGTGACCGACAATAAATAAATTCATATACAGAGTAGTTTCTAAAGTGAATGGGAAGAGATATATCAAGTAATTCTTATAAATAATCCCAACTTTTAACTTTTAAGCTTAATTTCTATTAAAAATCACCTGTTATAGGAGGAAATATCTGGTCATGGACCATTATTGGCGGACGGTCCATATAGTTGGGATTATACAAAAATAATCAATAGTTGAGATTATCGTTAGCAGACCAACAATAGTTGGGATTATTATTTTCAATTTTTCCTAAACTTTATTTACTAAAAATAATCAGAGTGAAGCATCGTAAACCGTACGGGAACCTTCTAGCGGGATGGAGGGAGTAAAATATACCATCAGGATAGACCACTCTTTTAATTAATGTCTGTCTGGCCCATATGCTTCCTTCTCCGATATGGAATCTCATAAAAAGCATCTGTAACACCATTTTCTGTAATTTTTATGATACATCCTAAGAAAGTTCTGGGCCTCTTTCATGATAAACTTTGGAGTTCAAATATTTTAGATGGTATATATTCATCTAAACAACACAAGATAAGTGTTGTGATGTTTTGAAAGTATGCCTACTAGGTAAATATAAAAGTTATTTACATGTCTTTGTACTATATCATTTATTTAAAGTAGGCTATGTTGCTACTGCATGTGGAATTGTGGATCATAGTTATATTCGGACAATTTAAAAGTTCTGTTGATAATATGCAATTGGGAAAATGGAAACTAATAATCCAACCTTTTAGCGGTTTTCTTACAATAGTCCCACCTTTTGATTATTCATGAATAATCCTACCTTTGCACCCCATCTTCATTCACTGGTCCCTGACCGGTTGATGTCATGCTATTCTAAATTATTTTCTTATCTTTGCAAATCATTACACCATAAATCTTACCTTTCACGAAGATAATATTTTGCAAAAGAAAACATTGAACCTATGAAATACTAACCGAATCATGGCTTCGTTAAAATAAAAATATAAACCTATGAAAGGTCAAAAAAGAATAGTGAGAATTACGTAGGTGTGTAATCTTTTTACATTACAGGCAAATCTATAAAAATATGTACCACCCTCTTCTTGCGCAAATGTTGTGTATGCGGAGTGTTAGGAAGAAGTGGCTAGCTTCCAGAGGTATCCTGAGAAATAAATAGTGCGTCTGACCTAAAGAAGAACCCTAGAAATGGCGATGTCTTTTACGCGATGGTTCGTAGATCCGAAGAAGAACCCTCTGGCTGCAATCCATAAGAAAACTCTCAGTTCTAGACTCCGCAAGTACGGTATGTGTTCATGGTTGATATCCACGTATCTACGATTGTCTAATATTGTAAACAAATGTATTGATTTCTCCGTTCATATGAACAATTGATTTTTTTGTTCTCAAGGTTTGAGATACGATGATTTGTACGATCCAATGTACGATCTGGACATCAAAGAAGCCATGAATCGGCTGCCAAGGGAGATTGTTGATGCCCGGAACCAGCGCCTCAAACGAGCCATGGACCTCTCCATGAAGCATCAGTACCTCCCGGAAGATGTTCAGGTAGTATTGTTACTTTCGGATTGAGGTCTTAATTTGTCTGTCTTGCTATGACTTATAAAAGAAAGGGAATGGTAAATAATTATAATGTTTCTGGGTGCATATGTTTATAGACGATTTGAGCCATTCAAACAGCATTCATCCACGGATGTAGTATTCATTTTTATGAAATTTCTGAGTGACTACAATTGTTCAGTATTAGTTTTATGGAATGTATATCCAAGTATACAGATAACATGAGATCTCGGCCACTTTTCATAGCAGTATGCTGTTTGCTTGAAAAGAACGCAGACTAACATCGTGGTCCAATTAAAGTAGCAGTAAAACATACTCTTTTTTTCAATATGTTTTCCTTTTCTTCCCCAAATAACAGTTTCTGTTTTTTCCATTTATATAATTTGTAAGTCTTATGCATGGATCTTGACCCGTTTATAGAACAGGCTATGATTGGCACCGGGTAATATGTTCTGGTTCCCTTTCTTGCAGGCAGCGCAGACACCTTTTAGAAGCTATCTTCAGGAAATGTTGGCCCTTGTAAGTATTTTGACAAACGCGTGTTACCAGACATGTGTGCTCATTATTTGCAGCTGCATTTGTTTTAATTATTATTAACATTTCTAGTGGCAAATGAGTGAATCACCTAAAATACATATCATTGTATATAGTAGGGGTTGTGTTGTATCTTGCGAATGATTATTCATTTTAAAGCCTGAATTGGTGCTGCATATGGTACATATTATATCTACCATGCCTATGTTATCATTACCACTTCCAATCTGCAAGAAAATCTAATAACTGTGCTTAGATTTTGCATCTGACCATAGTTTTAAAAAACGTGCGGCTAGGTGCAAAGCGCAGAGATGTGATGAAAAAATCGCAAACAGATAACTTGTGCACAGCAGATTCCATAAAGTGTGCACTTTTCTTACTTCTTTCCGCGTTTTTGTGCATCAGGAGGCGAACACATTAGCCGTGCCCCAGTGTTTGTTGTAAACTTGGCAAGCTATTTGCTCTAAGTGTACAATAAGAACAACAACAACCAAGCCTCAAAGAAAAGAAAAGAAAGATAAGAGAGATAAAAAGATAAGGTAAGACAAAAGGATAAGATAAAGATAAATATCAAGTTATCAATAAAGATAAAATGATAAGATAAAAAGGATCAAGAGAAAATATATACAATAAAAAGGATAAAAGGATAAAGAACATAAGAAAGATAAAGAAGAAAGAGATAGAATAAAAAACAAGAGTGAAAAGAGAGAAAGAAAATCAATCTTTCACATGTTTATTCGCTCTCCACTTTGCTCTCTCTAAAACCATACTCTCACCCAGCCCAAGAAAATCATATTACTCATCTTAGACGAGTTGAGAGGTGGGGGGAGAGGCAGGGAGGAGAGGGAGAGGAAGAACCAAACAGACGTGGATTAAAGGAATCAAGTTCCTAGAGTTTTTTGTGCTGCGCTATACTCCCAGAGTCTAAAACCACTACATCTCTTCTTATTTATCACAAATCAAACTCTTCCCCTTCTCTTCGCATGTTGCCCTCTTTCACGTAAGTTTTTTCTCGCCTTTATTCTCTTACTCCCTTCATATTTTCCCAATTCTCTCATGTAATTTTCCTGTGATATGTTCTGCTTGACTCCTGCTTTTTTGCTCTGATCACAGATATAGCAGTTTGTGCTTATGCTCTCCCTTCTTTTTATAAGCTAATTACATGCCTACTCTGTGTGCATGACTCTATGTGTTACCAAACTAGTTTTGTATTCCCAGCAAACTCAAGTTAACATTAAAGTTTCAATTTATAACTAGAAGCCTTAATATAATAACTAGAAGTCCTAAAGCTAATTTGTAATCTTTATGGTAGTTTTCAAACCAGAAACCTTAATATACTTTCTGATTGTAATGAGAAAGCCTTAATTTGTACTACCTCCGTTCCACTAAAATTGGGACAAGAGGAGGTGGCACAGTTATTAAGAAAAGTGAGTTTATGTGGTTGATATTGAATTGATAAAGTAAGAATAAAGTAAAAATGATTTAGAGCCACACAAACTTTACCAAATTTGGTATGGGACAATCTTAGTGGGATTTCCCCAAAAGGAAAAATGGGACCATCTTAGCGGGGCGGAGGGAGTTATATGTAATCATTCTATCATTCTGATAATTGTTTTAAAAAGCGTTCAGCGCGTACGCCTCAAAGGTGGTGGAAGAACTCATGTAAGGCTTAAGCCTTGAGTTGCAGAAACAGGCTTATGCCTCCAGATGGGTGAGGCGCGACTCAGAGGCAATAATTCCTAAGGTGCAAGGCAGACAGGCGATGAAAGGTGTACACCAGTTTTTCAAAAAAAAAAAAAACATTTTTTGGGCTGATTTTTGAGGCACTGGGCCTCTTCTGGACTTGTTGTTTTTAGATATTTGGGCATTCCCTCCTAATCTTGTAAAATAAACCATAGTAAACATTAAACAAGTTGACAATCCTACTTCTCGGTTCCATGACCACCCGCTTCCTAATAAGCACGACCAGTCTTCCATCCTCAGCTTCAGTAACAATTTACTTCCTCTTCAAAAATCTCTTAATCTCTCACTTTACTTTTTTGTTTCTTATTTCCTCTTCTTTTTTGTTCTATGAAACTTGAACGGCCAACCGCTTTAATTTTTAAAATTTGAATATTTGATTTATCATTAAAGCTTACTAAAAATGGTTTTCAGTTTGACTTATTTAGTCATTTAGGGAGTGTTTGGTTCAAGGTGATATCTTATACAGGGCGGAATTTGATGCCCGGAATGTGAGATACCTGTGTTTGGTTCGCGGGTTTGATTTTTTTTTTTGGGAATGTTACATTCCCAGAAGTGGAAAAGGTGATCACATGAATGGGCATGTGAAACCCACTAGAGCCTTAGGGCCTGTTTGGATGGAGTGTTTGGAAGTGTTAGTAATGGAAGTGTTAGTAAGTGTTAGTAAAGGCTCGGAAGGGAAGGGAAGTGTAAGTGTTAGACATAATTTTACCTTGTTTGGGAGAGTCAAATGAATGAAGTGTTAATAATGGAAGTGTTAATAATTTTACCTTGAGGCAAAAGAAACGAGTAAAGAGAATAGATGAAAAAACAAACCATCAGACCTGTGGGAAAGACATTCGAAGTGAAATGTCGAAGCATTTTATGTTTTTCGGGTAAATGAGAAGGGTAATAATTGTGCAACACCTCAAAACACTCCAAATCGGGGTGTTAAAAAAATGGACAATTGAGGTGTTGGGAAGGTTATTATTAACACTTCCTAACCATTACTAACACTTCTTAACACCTCTGGATTTTTCTCCCAAACAAGTGTTAGCATCAACACTTACTAATACTTCCATTACTAACACTCTTCAACACTCAATCCAAACAGGCCGTTAGGTTATGTTAGATTCCTGGTGGCTTACTAATTTTCTTCCAAAAAACTCATGCTTCATTAATCTAATACAAGTTCTTAACTTCTGATATATCACTCTTCATTTTGTAATTTTTAAAATTATACTGTATTTTTTTCATTATAGTTGTTTGAAATTATTTATACAATTATACTATATATTATAAGCTAATACTATATTTTTTCACTAATCTTTGTCATTTGTGCAATTACAATATTTTGCTTAAAATTATTTACTAATGTTCACTAATCTTAGTCATTTTTGCAATTAAATTCATTTTGATTAGAATTAATTCAATTAGTTTTTATTTTAATTATTACTAAGATGTTTTATTTTTCTATAGTTTTAATTACTTTAATTATAAGTTGTAATAAATTTAATGTGTTAAGAGACAAATATTTAAAGGGCATTCAAGTAGTAATTCACCAAATATGCAATATAAGATATCATTCAACCAAACAACTTAATGTGACATTCCCTTAACCGTAACCAAACACAAATGGGTTATACATTAATCACATTCTCATCTATCTAACATGCCCAGTAATCTAACATTCCCATGGTAATCTGACATTTCTTGAACCAAACATACCCTTAGATATTTAGATAAGGTTTCCAGCTCTTACAGAAGCAGGACTTTGGAATATCATACTCTGTAGTTGTCTGCATCTTACCTGCAAAGTAGGGTACTGAAGTACTGAACTACTAATGCAAATAAAGAAGGCTATATAGATGTAGTATTGTAATAAATTGTTGACATTACCACATGACTAATTATGTAACCAAATGATATTACCTCTATCCCATTTTATTTGTCTCCTTTGACTTTGGCACAATTATTAATAAAGTGGTTGAAAAGGTAAAAGTTGTGGTTGAGACTTGAGTATAATAAAGTGAAATGTTGTGGACCACATATTTCTTTCCAAAAAGGAAAAGGTGGCACTTATTTTGGGACATTACCACATGACTAATTATGTAACCAAATGATATTACCTCTATCCCATTTTATTTGTCTCCTTTGACTTTGACACAATTATTAATAAAGTGGTTGAAAAGGTAAAAGTTGTGGTTGAGACTTGAGTATGATAAAGTGAAATGCTGTGGACCACATATTTCTTTCCAAAAAGGAAAAGGTGGCACTTATTTTGGGACAACCCAAAAAGGAAACTAAGCCAGGTAAAATGGGACGGAGGGAGTTTGTTTTACTATTTAAGCTCCAGGACACATTAAATTAGTAAATATAAAATTGACTTTATAAACTTGGTTAGATACGTAGATCTTTAAAACTTTAAGCTTCAGGACACATTAAAATTAGTAACCATTGAATGTTTATTTTGTTTCTCTTGTGACTGACTTTGGTGTTCAATATGCTTGTTTAATGACTTGCATAAGTATTCTTAGCAAATCTTTATGTTTAAGTTTTGTGAGGTGTGCGCATCGCCCCTAGGCAAAGTTTAACTAAAGTGCCTCATGCCTTTTAAAACTAAGTGTCTGGCCATCCGTGGTGGAAATCCAAATTTATCTGCTCTTGCTACAATCTTTCATGTTTATTGGATCGCCTGACAGTCTGAAATGCCTCAAGTATTTGACACATTGATATGTAACTTTCTCTCCATTTGGTATACATGCTAGTAATGTCTAGGAAGACAAAAACCATGTTATTAACTTATTATTATCTGCTTAGTTTGGTCTCTTTGCAAGGATCTATATGGCTGTACAGAGGATAATACATACGGAGTATGCCTTTTAAGAGTGTATCTTAACACAAGTATCTTCTCAGTAATTACTTAAACTGCTTCTTTGACAAAAAACACAAATTATCTGTTGTTTTTTAATAAGCGAAAGGTCAAATAAGTCCGTCTACTATTTCCAATCCGTCACTTAAGCCCTTGTACTAAAAAAAGTATCATATAAGTATGCCCCCCGACCCCTCCCCTGCCCCCCCCCCCCCCCGGTGGTAAAAGAAGAAGAAGAATATGCGGTTACACCTTTGATTTCTTGAATGATTGAGTTATGCTCGTATTGATTATTGGATTATTTTTTCATTGTAGAATTGCAATCCGCTCACCAATATGCTTTCCTTTTCCTGGTCAGGTCAAAAGGGAGAGTGCAGAACGCTTGGCTCTTGGGGCTCTACCTCTCTATCAGCGCACACTTCCTTAAGGCAATTTTCATATTATTGCCTTTCTGCCAATGGATGCCAATAATAAAAAAAAATATTCTATGGAAGAATAATTGTGGTACATCTCCATTTCATGAGTGTGGTGCCAGAAATTTGGTTTCCTTTTTTCAGTAAAAGCTGTCGAACATTTATTAGCTCATATTTTTATTACCTCTCTATCAGCGCACACTTGAGGCAATTTGCATATTATTGCCTTTCTGCCAATGGATGCCAATAAAAAAAAAAATATTCTATGGAAGAATAATTGTGGTACATCTCCATTTCATGAGTGTGGTGCCTGAAATTTGGTTTCCTTTTTTCAGTAAAAGATGTCAAACATTTATTAGCTCATATTGTCAGGTAAAAGATGTGCAATGTATAAGCGTCAGATTTCTTTTTTTGTTGTTGCTAGTTTTGTACCTTCGTTCCTTTGGGCGATGAACATGATTTTTCCAAACCATGGCAAGTTGAAATGAAACCCCTTCTCTTCTTTTTGGAGTTGCAGTTGTATGTTTGGTGTATGCTGCGACATGGTTAATTTATTGGTGTAGGAAGCACAATTATGGTTGCTATTTTCTATCGCTGTTGGCCACTGTCTTTTGTCGCAGCAAATCAGCAATGGATTCCAAGAGTAGAGTTAGTGGTGGACTCGGTTCGGGCCCGGTTCGGGTCTTGAACCGGCCGGGCCTCGGTTCAAGGTAGGGGAGGCCCGGAACCGGCCCGGGTAACCCCCGGGTCCGGTTCGGGCCGGGCCGGGCCTGGTTCGGTTCTATATAATTTTTTTGGGGGTTTTCCTAATCAACTCCCTACCCTCCCCCTCAACCCCAAACCACCTCAAATGGCCCAAAAAACCCAATCCAACCCAAAAACTTAAAAAAATTCAAAAAAAAAAAAAAATTAAATCCGGACCGGACCGGGCCTGAACCGGCCGGGCCGGTTCACCAAAATGAAGGTCCGAGCCAGGAACCGGTAGTCACCGGGCCAGGTCGACCTGAACTGCCCATGGGCTGGGCCGTCGGGACGGGCCGTTTCAAACAGTGACCGGGCCGGGCCGGTTCCGGTTCGGGCCGCCCGGCCCGAGTCCACCCCTAAGTAGAGTGGTACATCTCCATTTCAAGATTGTACTGCCACTGTGCCACAGATTTCGTTTCCTTTCAGTTTTACGCTCAATATGTTGCTCTGAATCCTCAAAAATTACTATCAATCCACAAAAAGTAATTAAGGAGTTTATGCTAATTATCAATGGATAAAGTCATAAAACTAGGCTATACGTCTCAATGCATTTAACAAATAAGTCATAAACAACTTCTCGAAATAGATCTCAAAAGATCAAAGTAGTTTCTGAAATAATTTATAGAATAACGGCTAAAGAGATCTCAAGAAAATATTATTGCTAAAATAAATCTAATATAACATGACTACATGAGAAGATATTTCAAATATGAGTATGATTTTAAAGGTTAAAGGGTCATATCAGCCCGGGACTGCTTGCTCAATTCGGTCCCTAAATAAAAAAAAATCCAATTCGCACCTTGAACTGGTAAAAAATGTTCAAATATCATGTTTTACGTGTAAACACCCGGTCACCCAACACGTCACTCGTCTAGTTGCTGCCCGTGCATTTGAAGTAGAAACTAAAATCTCAAATAAGTCTTTGAACATGGTCGAATTGCTCAATTAACTTCCTCAATTCTAATAACAATTCTAATAAAGGTTCAACGTTGGGATAAATACAAAAAAAAAAAAGATAATGTATGTATATTCCTACATTATATTTTACTCTTGAATTTTTACTTTAGCCCTTTCATTTCCTACATTAAATTTATTTGTTCTTTTTAATTTTATTTATATTTTATATTTGATATGTTTTTGTATGTATTATCTTTTTGTTTTTAATATGTTGTATTATATTAAATATTTAGGTTTAAAACTGCTCGAAGTAGGATGGAAAATACAGAAAATTCTAAATGTGTTTTTATTTCGAAATAGGACTGCTTTAATCCTAACTAGGTGTACATGAGTCCTATTTTGGGATGAAAATAATGACATTCTTATTTGAGAACATTTGCTATGTTTTGTTCCTATTTGGGGATCTTTTCTTTAGAGTTTTAGTTTTGTTCTTACATTTATATTTTATATTTCAATAGATTTTTAACATCCATTCTTAATTATTTTATTTTGTATTAGATACAAAAAAATCAAATTAATACTTTAAGTTATATAAAAAATACTTCCGGTTTAACTTTTACATTTTTGTTCTATAACTTATTTTTGAAGTATTACAAGTTTCTATTTTATATTTCATATGTATTACTTCAAAACCTACGAAATGATAAAATATAACAACATAAAATAAAAAATAAAATAAAAATGAAGTCTTAAATAAAAATTAATGTAAGAACATAGATATTAAGTATGAATATAAGGTCTGAAACTAGACTTATGTTTCATATTAATATTTTCTAATTTTTATATTTTGATACTTTATTTTTAATTTATTTGTTGTTTTTTTACTTAGGATTTATTGTGATTTTGACATTTTTTTAATAGTTTAGGGGCGATCTGAACAATTGTGACGGCTTCAGGGACTTATTTGAACCTTTCATTTCCACGTCATTGGTTTACCGGGTGATGTGGCGACTGACTAGGGTGTTCACCCGTAAAAACAGAAATTTGAACTATTTTTTTCGATTCAGGGGTGCAAATTCAATCTTTTTTAGTTTAGGGACTGAATTGAACAAACACAACTAGTACAAGGACCTATTCGACCCTTTAGCTGGTTTTAAATTTCAACTCAACGTATATGATCAAGGGAAAGATACCTGGGAACGTAAATAGGACTAAGAAGTTTTAAACTCCTAAATAGGACTTGTTTTGAACGGCCATACAAAAATACCCCTCCCTTTCCAACATATTCGGCTCTGAACATAGGAATAGGACACCATCCGTCCGCTCTTGCAAATCTAATAGGACCGTATTTAACAAGCGAATTCGAAGGAGCAGTCGCCGACGGCAGGTTCTGCGGTCCGCCGCTGCTTTCCGCCGGTTTATCGCCGGTGTGAGTCATCACCGCAGCAGTCTTCGGAGACAGGCCGACGGGTAGTATCCTCCTCCAATCCTCCTTCCCATGTCCCTTCTCCTCCTCCGATCCTCCTTTCTCCCTCTCTTCCTAATTGTTTGCGAGTTTTTTTGTGCGGTACGCTATACATCTCCCTACTCTTTGCCTCTTTGTTGAGCTCATCGTACATACTAGCTTATCTTTAGTGCTAGTAGCACTGTAGCAGTCAGGAGGGATTGGCCATATCAAAGAAGAGATACTCCAGAGTCCAGAGCAGTTACAAAGGGATTGGCCGCACTGTAGCAGTCTTGTTGTTTTACGTTTCAATTTTTATTTTATTTTGCAAATTCATATAGTGTAAGTAATATTCTGGATCCATTCATTAATTTAGAAAATCATATCATTGTGACAATGAAATAATAAATTCCCGTGACATTATTTATTGTACATAAGTGTCATGGAATTACAATGACATATCTTGACACAATGGCAATGTCGGTGAAAAATTGAAAATGTCATAAAAATGCAATGTCAATGTATAAAAATGTCACGGGGTTAAGAAAATGTTACAATAGCAATGTCATTGTCGATGCTACAAAATGACATTGTAATTATGACAATACTATTATGACAATTTTAATTTTATAAAAAAAAAGTCACAATGTCGAAAAAATGTTGTAATGTCACGATGACAATGACAATGTCATAAAAATGTCAATGACAATGTCATAAGAATGTCAATGACAAAGTCATAAGAATGTCAATGACAATATCATAAAAATGTCAATCGTTATGAAAATGACATTGCTAAAACTAATGTCAAAGCTGTAAAATATAATTTCTATTTTCAGCAGGTGCAACGTTTGCAAGACAAAGCCAATTCTCATTCATCACTTTATATTTTATGTTTATTTTCCCTTGACTGTTAAAATATAATTATGACAACGTCATGAAAATGAGAATTATTAAAAATGACATTGTCTATTTTCAATAAATTGTTATTATTAAAATTATGACAATGTCCTCATAATGACAATTATACTAATCATTTATAAAAGTTAATGCATCATGTAGTAATGTTGATATCATGTAAGACTATATATATCAATTTATATTGAAATGCAGTAAGAATGATATTTGAATAAAATAAAGTAAAAATCCAAATCTGAAATAAATTTATCTCCAAATCAACATTAAAAAGGTAAATCCCTAAAATGAATCAAAAAATACAATATTTTGAGAAAAAAACATACTCCCTCCGTATCAAATTAATTGACCCACTAGGCTTTTGTAGTAGTTTAAGAAAAATTGTAGGTGTACTGTAGATAAAGTAAGAAACACTGTAGATGATTAAAAGTTGAGGAATACTTTTCAAAAGGAGTATAAACAACCGGACCCCATATACATTAAGCACTGTAGCAAAGCGTAAAGGCCATATACATTCGGCTCTGTTGGCAGTTCGCACACCCAAAAAAAGAAAACACTGTAGCAATTCGTAAATGGGAAAAATGCCAGCATAATGGCGCCAACTTTTTAGATTTGGAGCCAGATTAGTTCCAAAATATTCGCACTTCTATAAATAGAAGAGAGAGTGACGAGTTTGGAGCCAAGAACAATGGTGGATTCGTAGATGACATGCGCCTCTCAGATTTAGGAAAAACCTCTCAGACTTGTTGTCATCTACGAGGGGGGCATTTGACGGCCATTAAACAGGTAAACTTTGTCATCATAGAAAATTAATGTTTGGTTGCTATTTGGAGGCCTTCTTATAGCAATAGAAATTGATGTCGTTGCTATCTCCAAGCCATCCAAGACCACTGACCACAGTTCCAGGGTAGAAATCCGATCACCGATGCCAAACCTGAAACCTGCAGAGCATGCATCTGTACTGGACTTCCTGAATCAAAGGACAGTCAAAGGAAAGGTCAAGCGAGGTGGATTCACAAATGCTATTATTACTTTATTATTTTTCATGTCAGTCACATTATTGAATTCTATTATTTCTTTCTGCTCATCACAAGTCTCAATTACACAATTTTTACTTTATTATTTTTCATGTCAGTCAAACCTGACAAAGTTTTAAAGGAGTTTTTTTCAAAATAATGTCAAATAAAAAGTTACTTACTGAATTAAAGTCCAGTTAAAACTATTTACCAAAATACTGCTCGTCAAAGTCGCCAAGGGAAGTGACCACTTACAAGCCGCGAAACTCCTTTGCGACTCTTGCATGTGACCGAACAAACAAATCAGCAAAGCAAGGTACGGTAAGGTAGAGTAATAAGTTGGTGGGGCCATGTTATAAGAGGCTATAAGGGCCTGTTTACTAACAGAAATATTTTTCTGTTTTCAAGTCTCCATTTTTCTGTTTTCGTTTTCCAATTTTTTGTTTTCCAAATCAGAAAACATGGTTACCAGAGTTTTTCAATTCTCCGTTTCGTTT